GTTGAATGAATAAAGATAATTTGTGACCACTGGCCTACTACTGTGGATTACAAAAGATGCCTGCCAACCTCTTCTCCCAAGGAGAGGTGGAGTCTATTTCTACTCCCCTTGAACTAAAATGGCCACATAAGTGATGATTAGGGCCGGGCCTTAAGGAATTTACATTGTTGTTGAAATGCCCCTTCTTGGGATATACCCTCCAGTTTGTGAGAAAACCCAAGCAACCATGTGGATGGGTCTTTGTGGAGAGATCCCGGTGAAGAAGAACCAAGGCCCCTGACCCACGACCCCTTCTGACCCAGCCCCCAGCCAGCACCAGCTGCCAAGCATGTGAGGCCACTTGGGAATTTCCAGCTGTGCCAGTGCCCCAGCTGACACCATGTGGAGCAGAACAGCCCAGGAAACGATTGTGATAAGTGTTAGTTTTAAGACATTAAGTTTTGGGATTATGTGTTATTCAGCCGTAGACAACTGAAATAATTGTCTACCAAGTGCCAGGCACTATTCTGTGCCCTTCTGACCTACCAGGGTAAAACAGAAATGTAAACTGACAGGGGCAGACGAGGGTACTGTGTAAGGACAGAGGAAATGCCACTCCCCAGTTGAAGGCAGTCTGCAGAGATAAGCAGAGGGCTGTGTGAGTCTGGGCAGATCAGCATGGAATGGGCAAACTACCAAATCCAGATCCCCACTTTTGGCCAGTCAGCACAGCAACTTCCTCCTCCAAGCACCTCCGCGAATGGATTGTTTCACCTGACAGAGGTGAGAGTGGGAAGAGCTGGAGAAGGTTGCTTGGGGTCTGCCTGGCTCTCTAAATCTAGTGCACGTTGGACAGCTGCACAATGTTGCCCTGACGGTTTCTGACCTTCTGGGGCTTTCTGACGCAAGGAATGTACTGATTCTAGGTACCTCTGGGCAAGAGGTGGTGAGGCTGGTGTTCATGCCTCAGTGGACTCTGCATGTTCCTGAGGGATGGAGCAAGTGTCTGTCCCTTTCCTCACTTCCTGGCCACAGAAAGAGACACGTCTGTGACCCTTCCCTCCTCTCAAACCCATCTCCTGGCCAGTACCTAGACGCATGGAAGAAACATCTCCATTTCCCGCTCCCCCCATTTGTCTGATGGGGGCCAATCTGACCCATCCTCACCCATTGGCCAGGCGTTTTCCTCTAATACATAGGCTGTTAGGGTCAGCTTCATCCTCACCAACTTCCTGGTGAACAACTCTTGACGTTGGTGTTCTAAAATAACAATAGTTCTTCCCTTCTCCCCTCCCCCCATTAGCAAGACAATCATAAACATTCATTTAACAGATGCTTTTACCAATATTCATTCTGTGCCAACTATGTGCCTGGTTCAGTTCTAGGAACTGAGGATACAGTGTACAAGAAAGTTCCTGCACCCACAGAGCTGATCTTCTGAGGGAGAGGGGCAGCAATAAATAAACATCTAATGTTGGGTGGTGATATCTGCTCTAAAAGAAAATCAAAGTTTTCTTTGTGGGTGGAGGAAATGGGGGGAGACTATTCCCCAAGGTGGTCTAAGAAGACCTCTTGCAGTGACCTGAATGGCATATGGGGGAAGAGTACTTCAGGCTAAGTGAACAGCCAAAGGCCTTGAGGCAAGAAGAGATGGGGCAAGCTCAAGGAATAGCAATTAGGCAAGTGTGGCTAAAGCAGGTAGAGAGTGAGAAAGGTGGGGAAGAGAAATAAGAACCAGAACTTTCTTCTGAATAAAATGGCATGATGTGATTTATGCTGACAAAGATCTTCCTGGATGCTGTTTGGAGAACAGGCTGGGGAGGGGCCTGGAGGAGGTAGAAGCAGGGTGACCAGTTAGGAGGCTGCCATATAACCCAGGCCAAGATGATGGTGGCGGCCTGGCGGAATGGTTAAAACAGAGTTAGCAAGTGACAAAGTCTTATGACTTGGAGGTGGCACTGACGGGACGTGCTGAGGGCTTGGAAATGGCATCTATATATATAAAAGCCTAAGCGACTGTCCAACCATTTGACCGTTCAAACATTCAACCAGTAGCTATGATGTGCACTGACCATCAGGGGGCAGATGCTCAATGCACAGACATGGAAATATGGAACAGACTGATGAATCTCAGAGGGAGAGATGGATGGGGGAGGGTGGGAAGAGATTAACCAAAGACCTTATATGCATACTAGAGGCCCGGTGCACAGATTCATGCATTGGTGGGGTCCCTTGGCCTGGCCTGTGGGGATCCTCTAGTTTAAGAGTAAGAGAGACACACTGATGACACCTTTTAGGTTTGGGGCGAGGGGGACTGGGTGAACAACGGTACCATTCTCTGAGGTAGGTAAGAGTGGGAGTGGAGTGTAAGTAGTAAGTTGTTGGGGGCAAGATGTGCTGAGTTTGAGATGCCAGTATGATAGGCAGTTGAGTATTAGTCTGGGGGTGGGGGTCTTGGCTAGAGACAGAAACTTTGTAGTCATCAGCATGCAGACATTATAAATCAGCCCTAAGGAGTATAGACAGAAAAGAGCATCATGGACATGGCCCGGGGCCTTCCACAAGGGGAGGAGGAGAAGCCCATCAAAGAGACAGGAGTGCCAGTGAAGTGAGGAAGACCAGGAAAGTCAGGTGTTCCCGTAGCCAAGTGAGGAAAGTGGATTCTGTAGGATCACAACCGAAGGTCAATTCCTGAGCGTCGTTTTTTTCCACCTGTGAAATGGAGGCAGTAACAGTTCCTTTACAGGGCAGCTGGGATTAAATGAGATAAATTGTGTAAAGCAGTTAGGCTTGTGTTTGACTGGCATATAACAAACTTTCAGTCTATGTTATTCCCAGCACTGCAGAGTGGCTGTCAGAGCCCTCAGCTCCTCCATCCACATAAATGACAGCCCCTCCATGGGTCCTTCTCAGGGCTGAGGTTTCCCTGCTCACTTAGGCACTAGGTGGGCCTGAGGAGTGGCCTCTGGGTCAGATCTGAACCCACAAAACCTCCAGCCCTTACTTGCAAATGAACAAGGACTAAACACGTGGTGTTTTGTTTTGTTTTTTAATATCTTTATTGATTTCAGAGAGGAAGGGAGCGGGAAAGAGAGAGAAACATCAATGATGAGAATCATTGATTGGCTGCCTCCTGCACATCCCCTAATGGGGATCAGCCTGCAATCCAGGCATGTGCCCTTGACGGGAATCGAACCTGGGACCCTTCAGTCTACAGGCCGACGCTCTATCCACTGAGCCAAACCAGCTAGGGCAACATGTGGTTTTTTTTTTTGTTTTTTTTAAAGCTTTGGAGCCAGAATTCTGACCCTGCCTCTCAACAGCTGTAGGAGCTTAACCTCCCTAAGCCTTGAACTCATTATCTGTAAAATGGGGGCAATCCCTACTTCATAGGATGGGGTCCAGACCTGCGTAGATTGTAAATAAAGCCGGCTGCTCTCCTCCTGAGACTCCTTGCTTAGTGTGTATCCTTATTGCGTATCCTCAGTGCGTATCCTCGTGGGGTGGGATGCATTAGAAGAGGCACCCCTTTCCTCACTCCCCCCGCAGCCCCCCACCCCTCCCACTAATCGCGGTGGGCAGGCCTCTGAGTCCCATACCCTGGGCCATTCAAGAGAAGTGCACTCGTCCACTTCTTTTCCGCAGGGCTTGGGGGCGGGGGGCGGTCTTCACGCTGGGCCCCCCAGCCACAGCCTCGCCGGCCTAAGGGAGAGGGTTCAGGTCGCCCCAGAGAATCCCTCCGCAGCTGCCCCACCTCCCGCCAAGCACCCCGCTCCCAGACCCCGCACCCCTATCCCAGGCCCTGCACCCCTCTCCCAGACCCCGCACCCCTCCCCCAGGTCCCGCACCCCTCTC